AATGCCAGGTGGCAGGGGAAGCCACCATCTGAAAGGACAGAGGGACCTTGAGCAGCTCTGCTCACTTCAGTGGGGGCAAATGCAGTGTTGGAGATTTGCCTGGGGAATGTGGAGGGTGAGTGGTGGGTAGGGAGGGCTTCCTGGAGGAGGTGATATCTGGGCTGAGTGTTCCAGAGCAAGTAGGACTTACCCAGGACAGGAGGGGGGGCAGGTGCTCCCAGAAAAAGTCCAGCTACAGAGAGGTCAGCATCTGTAGAGACACCATCACGCAATGGGGCAGGGTCCCGGCATGTGCGTGCATGTGTATAGGGGGAGGGGCTGAGGGTTGGCGGTGGTCCCCAGGAAGACCTTGTGGGTCTCATGGGGGGTGGTGGACTATGTGGTGGGTAATGGAAGCCTTGGAAGGCATGAGAGGCTCCACCTGGTCAGCTCCAGTTTGGATAGTTCTTGAGCTAATGAGCTTTGGGCTGGGCTGGGCTGGGCTGGGCTGGTGGCAGAGGGCAGAGTGGACGGAGCAGCAAAGGGCACCAGAACCGTGGTCATCGTCCAGGAAATGGTGACGTGCAGCAGAGTGAAGAGCGAGGTGTGGATTTAGGGCATCACACCCACTGACCGATCCGTTGCTGGGGTGCTACCAAGGAGGAGTGAGACGTCAAGGACACTTGGTGATCAGATGGACAAAGGAGCCACCCACGGCTAACTGGAGTGCAGGCAGCGGGTAGGTTTAGGGCTGTCCTCAAAATGTCAGGGATACACTTAGAGACAGCTGCACTTAGAAGGCCCAAGAAGCTGGGGATAGATCTGAGCTGAAGACATGGACCCAGGAGTCATGGAGAGATGGTAAAACCGAAGCAAGGAGAGTAAGCAACAGGCTAAACACGAACCCTGGGCACCAACGGTTTTAGAACGGGCTGGGGCAGGGCAGGAGAGCCTGGGAAGATGGTAGGTGGGAAGCTAAAGGGGCGTGGTGTTGGGAAGGTCGTGGGAATTCTGTTTTAGTCAGGGTTTGCTTATTGTGCTGCAGTAACAAACAACCCCCAAATGTCAGTCTAAATCTCTACAGAAATAGAGATCCACCACTCAGCGTTTTAGTCAGATTTCTTTTAGCCACCGTGACTTAAAGACCCCACCAGCACAACTGTAGAGGAGGGAAAGTTTGTGTGGGGATTCATGGTTCCATTCCTTGGGGCTGGAGGTGAGGCAGAACATCCTGGCAGAAGAGTGTGGCAGAGGGAATTGGCTCATGTGAGGGTCAGGAAGCAGAGAGAGATTCTGCTCTCCAGATACAAATATACACCCCACGGCCATGCCCCCCAAGGAACCACCTCCTCCAGCTACACTCACCTGACTCCAGCTACCACTCAGTTAGTCCCTATCAGGGGATTAATTCACTGATTAGGTTAAGGCGACAACCCAATTGTCCCTCCTCCAAACCTTCTGGCATTGTCTCACATGTGAGCTTCTGGGGGACATCACGTCTGCATCGTAACACTCAGGTACCCAACCATGTGAGGTCGACCTCTGCCCTCCACCAGGGCCTGGGCTGACAGTGTTGCCTCTCATGGTAACGTCACTCCTCTCACGGCAGATGTAAAGGGGACGTCCAAACCTACACCCCGTCTCTAGAAACTTTCTTTCCAAAGTGACATATGTCCCTCCTGCTCACATTCATTGACCAACACCAGCTCCAAGGTTCCCATGACAGGGATATCTACTCCCCCCAAGAGTGGGGATCAAATATCCCGAACAATTGCACAATTGACCACTGAATGTAGAGATTTCAGAAGAAAGGAGAGACCCTCCGGGAGTGACGCTCCTGGGACAACTGGTAGGATGGAGACTCAGGAGCACGGTCTGGTGTGGCAATGGGTGGATCTCCAAGTCTGGGTGGGGTGGTGTCCCCACTGCAGAGCTGACAGGACCAAGGGTCAACTCCTCTTGAGAAATTCTCAGTGTGAAGGAGGGGTAAGAAGGCGAGTAGCTGGGAAGAAATGCTGCGCACGGGAGAGGGATCTGGGTGACTGTCCTGCTAAGGTGTTTTATTTTTTTCTTAAACCAAACACATGCATTTGGTAAGGCCTTAGCCAAGTTTATGTTACTATAATGAAATACCTGGAGCAGACTACTTGATAGGAAAGAGGTTTACCTTGGTTTAAGGAGTTGGATGCTGGAATTTCAAACAGCATGGCTCGGGCTCTGGTGAGGGTCCTCCTTGGCTGCCTTGTTTCACGGCAGGATCACCCATGTCGATGCAGGTGGTCTCTCTCCTTTGCCTTTTAAATCCCCCAGGATTCTGTCATGGAGGGAGGTTCCATTCTGATGACCTAATCTCATCCACTCACTTTCCAAACACCCCCCCCACCACCACCTCTGATCTAGTGTCTACCCTCTTCACCATTAACAGAAGACTTTGGGGGTTGGCCTCCTGCGGGAGTTGGGGTGGGAAGGACAAATCATACTCAGACCCTAGCAGGCAGACAGTAAACGTGGCCACAGACTCTTCCCTGTTTTGTGCCTGTGCCCATCCAAAGTGCCCTGTTACGGCAGCAAGAGATGCCTTCTGGGGTGCGGGGTGTGGACGGCAGGGGCGGCCGTGAGTATGATGGGCACAAAGAGTGGGGACTCTCTGTAGGACTGTCTGCTCCATTTTGCTGTGAAAACTAAAAGTGCTCTAAAAGATAAACCTCACTAATTAAAAAAAAAAAAAAAAAAGATCACACACAATGCAGCTACCAGCGGCGCTCTCAGCCATTTGGGAGATACTTTGGAGAAATGATTGCTTATGGGAAAGGCAGGACCAGACCCCATCTTCGGCCCCAGGGCAGAGCCCTGCTCATCCCCCCAAACCTCCATCCCATCTTCAACTTCCGACCAGTCCTCCCTGCAAGGGCGCCCGCCGGGGTGGCCCGCCGCCACGTTGGAGAGATGATGGGTATGAATATTTTATCTGATCTCCCTTCTTGTCAAAACCCATAATATTGCTTTCCATAAATCAATTTCGCTCGAGCACTCTGTTCGGGGCGCGGCATGCCTTTAGACACTTAGTCTTTGATTTGGTCTCTGGCCTGGCGTGAGGAGCAGCCCTGCTCTCAGAAACACTTCAGGACAGGGACCTTCTGGGAGCGAGCGAGCGGGGAGCTTCCTAACTTGGGTGACTTCTCATCAACTTCATTGCTTTTACACGAAAATAATCACTTCAGCTGGGGGCAGCCGAGGGCCGAGCGTTCTCTGCCTAATTGCACCCACCTTTAGCCCTCTTCTCCGAGATTGATTCCGGGGTTTTCTTAGCAGAACGCACGCCAGGGTCTGCCACGGCGGAAACCGCAGCCCTCTTAACCAGAGCGGCAAAGCCAATTGACGCATTCCTCCTGTTAAATTTACTGGCTTTATTGAAAGGTCTTTGGGGAGTTGCTTGCTCATTAAATACACCAAATACAAAATCTCGCTTAATACAGTATTATCTTGGTAATATAGAAGACTTCCCCGATGTGAGCTCAGAGACGCGGAATCGACAGCACTTTCAGGAGGCCGCATTAGCCAAGGTTCACTCCTCTTCCTAAGCGGCGATCCCGCCTGCCTGCCTGCCTGCCTGCCTGCCATCTGGGGTGACTTAGGCTGCCTAATCCAGTCCCAGGCATCACCCCGACCTTGTCTCTCTCCATCCCCATCACAGTCCAGGTTAAAAGTGGCCCCTGGTGTGACAGCTTCCAGAGTTGTAGGAAATTGGAAGTCGGATCTCTTCCCTAGCTTTTCAAAATCAGGGAGTGGAAAGTGAGTTTAGAAACAGTCTTCCAGGCCACGGTGAGCGGTGGCTTCCTGTAGTGGCAGGGGGATTCACTGGTTGTGAGAAACTGATGTGACTCCATTTTTGGAAAATAAATAAATAACAGCAGCTTCCACCTCAAGGCCTGTCCAAGGAGGGGGATGTGACCCTTGACCTTGGAAAACCCCACAGAGCACTCCTAGGCACATCCCCACCCTGCTGAGTTGCTTGTCTGTAAATAACAGGAGAGGTCTGCAGCGCCAGGTGTCCCTGACTCCGTCAGGCTAGGTGAGGACCCATAGCAACCCCCTAGCAACCACCAATCAGCATGAGACAGGGAAATACCTGGGATGCCAGATGACCCTCTCAGTAGTTTATGGTGGTTGATAACATGTTGGGAAACCATGTAGTTTAGCACATACACCCCTCGTGGCCTAAACCAATCAGTTCAAAGGAATCCCCCTCTTGTACTAACCAATCACCCCTGACCAACTTGTTCCCGACAGTGAATGTGCTAATCAATGTTAAGAGTTGTTGTTTGACTTTCCTGCGGTATGAAATGATTTGCTGTGTGATGTTGTGTTGCATAGAGTAATCCCCCAAAACCTATAAAATCTCACTGAACAAAGGACGGGGACTCACTCCCTGGGACCACTGCGTCGGGAACAGTTGTGAGTCCAGGCTCGAGCTTGCAATAAAGACTCTTATGTGATTGCATTGGGTTCGGCTCCTGGAGGTCCATCGGGGTCCCACGAAGCTGGCATAACAGTTGGCGGAGTCGGGTAGGGAACCGTGGCTGTTTCTACCTCTGCCTTCACGCCTGGGGACCCCAATCTTAGAACTGAAGACACACGTGGTCCCGAGGGAGTTGGTGGCAGCAACCAGCAAATTCTACAAGACCTACAGGGTGGGACAGGAGCGAGACGCATGCGCCAGGGCAGAGGTGCACAGAGCCGAGGAGCACCTCCCTTGATGTGAAGAGTTGACCGAGTCACTTCCTAAGTTCTGACTGTCTGCTTCTTTCAGAGCACAATCAGGTTAGAAATGCCTTTCCCTCACAAGTTCGACTCAAAAAAAAAAAAAAAATCCCATCACTTTTCTGAAAGGATATGGGTCAGCCGACAGCCCAGGAAGGCGTGGGTGATTTCAACAGAACAGAAATAGAAGGGAAAGCCCAGAGTGAGGGGAAGAAAGGAGCCTGCGCAGGCAGCCAGAGGGGGGATGATGGGCGCGGAGGGACACCCTGGGCACAAAGATGGGGGAGGGCTGGCGGGTGGTTCCACTGCCCCTTCCTTGCCAAAGTCGACGCCTTCGTCCACCCACACCCAACGTTCTTTCTCCTTCCCGTTCCTCTCACCACCCCAGTTTTGTTCCGGTTTATAGGGCAACTCTGCAGGAGCCGCCAATCCCTGTCGCCTCTGTGTGTGACTGTCTCCCTCGCCCAGGACCATCTGGACGGGGTAAGTGACCTGAGTGGACTGACTGCAAAGCTGGGGACTCATCTGTTGGCCTTCTTTCCCTTGGCCCCAGCCTCCCACCCATCTGCCTGTTCTATAGGGTCCAGTGGTGAGGGACCCCAGGCCTGACCCTTCCCTGTGTGGGATGCCCCCGATTGTCTCAATGTCCTCGATCTCTCGCTGCCACTGGGAAGATCAGGCAACCTTTGTGCATTGAGAGTTTGCTTGGAATTTGCAGTGCCTCATTCTCATCCGTCCAGAACACCAACTTGCTTTATCAACCGAAACGTAGGCAGAAATCAGAGCCATCTGGTGGTCCTGGCGTTACTGCTTTCGCCCTGCTATGGGGGTGGCATACTCTGAAGGGTGATGGTCCTTCAGGCTGGATCTGACAACGACGAGGACATGCGGGATGAAGTCCTGGATGAAGAGGGATCTGAGCAAGAAGTAAATCCTTGTTGTAAGTCAGTAAGATTTGGGGGGTCTTTGTTATCTCAGCGTGACCTAGCAAACCCTGACTACTACAAGTTGAGACTGGAGTTATATATTAGAAATATGTTTAAATAAAAGTTGGAAAATATGACTATGGCAAGACGTCTGAATGGAAGGTCCCCGACGCTGTGTCTGAGGGAGGGGACCTCGAGGAGCAAGGACAAGAGTTGGAGAGGTGAGGAGTAGAGGGCAGGAGTTCCTGGTTGAGACGGATCCAGGTGCACTTGAGGAAGGAAAAGAGGAATCCGTGAGGGCGGGGAGGGTGGTGGGAGGCAGCAGGAAAGCCGGAGCCTTACAGACCACACTGAAGACTTAGGTCTTTATCCTAAGTTCCAAGACAGTAAAGGAACTTTGGAAGTGGAGTGGGCACATAAGGAGAGATGATGTCTTAAAATGTCCCATCCTCAGCACCACATATAAATAAATTAAAAAAAAAAAAGGCCAATTGACAACTTTAAAAAAAGATCTTCGCTGTAGTAGAGTTCACTGGGAAGGGTTTGGGGGTGGGGTGGGGCTGGGGAGTGGATGGAGGCAGAGAATGGTGGGGGGGTGCAGGAGGGTCTAGGGGGCTGCATTGGGACTTGGGCTCTGATGGGGGCTAAGCCCCGAGTGGTGGTCCACCCCGAGCCACGAGGTGGGCCTGCAGTGTGACCAGATCCCAGAGAGTTCTGAGCAGCCTGGGAGAAGTAAATCCTTGTTGTAAGTCAGTAAGATTTGGGGGGTCTTTGTTATCTCGGCGTGACCTAGCAAACCCTGACTACTACATATTGAGACTGGAGTTATATATATTAGAAATATGTTTAAATAAAAGTTGGAAAATAAGACTATGGCAAGACGTCTGAATGACGTGACCGAAGCTCCCCTGAGCCTCCAGGATTTTCCAGAGGTCTCGGAAGAGGGGGCGGACAGGTCATGCTTGCACGTGACTCCTTCTGTCTGCTCCAGGAGGAAGGGTTTAGGGCAAACTGTCCCGGGTCCCCACTCTGCAGCAGGAACCCTGTTTACTCACAGCGAGGGGGTGGAACCCCTCTGCCCGGTGTAGAGGGAGCACCGTGGAGGGAGCCAGTCCTACCCAAACCCGGTCCTACTCAAGTCCTTTTTTCCGTCGTGATCTGGTGACGTGCCTGGTCGTCAGCACAGTACAGGATTCCCCGCGACAGACAGGTCTGACCACCGTCATCCTGAAGTGGTGATACCTGTCGGTGCTACTTGGAGGGACCTGCGACAGTGAGTAGGATGAGGAAGACATCTGGACTTTCCCCGAGTGACAGTCACAGGCACACCGTGGAAATCTGTTGCCTACGTTTGCAGTTCGCGGAAGGAGGCCTGACTGAGAGGTCGGCAGGAAGAAAGACGCCGCGACTTTAGTTTTTCCATCCAATTTCCTAGACTCCAGGAAACTGAGCCTGGGCTTCCGAGTTTGGTCATCCCATTGAGCTCAAGGGCTATTGGGAGGTTAGAGGACAAAGCCCAGGTCCCATCTCAAGGATCTGATGTACCCTGTCCCCATCCAGGTGTGGGGGGGTCCAGGTCACCAGCCCCGGCGTGGAGTGACCCGGATGAGTTTAGCTCCTCTGCTCACAGCCGACCCCACCTCCCTTCCAAATCTTGACTGTTCCTTAGGGACCTCCGGAGTCCCCACTTGGTCCCTTGCCATCCTTGCTGCTTGAGCCCAGGCTCTGCAGTCCCCCTTGGGATGCCACCTTGGTGCCTTAGGTCAATCCCTCCGAGCTGAGGGGCAGCCTCCGGGAACTTGAGGATGACTAGGAACAAACCCAGGTGCCAAGCGCCTCCCGGACCAGGCGTGGATTCCCAGAAAACACAAGTGCCCCCCCGACTCGTGTAGACATACTGGGTAGGCAGCCCCGGCCATTCCCAGTGGTGCCCATAGGAGCGAGTTCCTGTCTAGTCTCTGCTGCTGGCCTACTGAGAATCCGCCTCTGCCCCGGAGCCTCTCTCTTTCTACCTATAGAATGGGCCCCCGTCTGCACCCTGGCGTCTGCCACCCAGCCCATCAGAGCCTGACGGTGGGCCTCACCACTCAGAGCCTCTGTTTCTTCATCCATGAAATACATGACACACATTTCTCAAAGTCTGTTTGCAAATTAGAGATGCACTTGATAGCTCATCCCAAATGTCTAGAAGGCATAAAAAATATCACCTGCCCCACAAGGAAGTCCTGATACACCCACCCTTGCCTCCACCTCAGTCCCATCCCTTCTCTGCTGCTCCCAATCTTGCTCAGCTTCTCACCATAGCTTTTAAGTCTTTTGTGATATGACCTTCTCTCCTCTCCTACCCTTACCCCAACTTGTTCACAAGCCCTCCAGCCATATTTTCCTGGCGCTCACTAAACTTGTTCCTACACAGGGCCTTTGCACCTGCTGTTCCTTCTGCCTGGAGCACTGTTCCCTGTCTGTGTCTCATCTCCACCTCTCCTCACTCACTGTCACCTACGCAGGCCTGACACGGTTCCTGGTCCCTTGACCCTCTACCCTGCCATCATTTCCTTCCTGGTCCTTACAGCTCTCTGCAGAGACAGTTTACCCAGGTACCTGCCTGCCATCCTCCTTCCCAGCTGCCACCCCAGCCCCACAAGGGCAGGATCTCTGCTTCTCATTGGCCGCCCTCGGAGCTCCTGCCAATGAGCCCTGCACGTCTCTATCTGTTGGCTGAAAATGTGTGTTCCTTATAAAAAGACGTTTGGAGAGAACCAGGAAGAGAGGATCAAGAGCTGGTGATAGATGGTGTTAAGGAACCAAGGCTGATCGGGTTCACTGAGGGAATGGTCCTGGGGTTGGGGTGGGAAAAGACAGGCCTTTACTGTTGGGTTCAAGCTGAAGTATGTAGGGGCAAAATGGCCTCTTCGGGGTTTTCTTGGAAGTATCACAGTTTAAGAAGGAAATTCAGGGGGCAGTGGGAGGAGATGCCACAAGAGCGCTGGAGGGTGGGTCACGGTTGAAACTAGGAATCGAGCACACCTGGGTAATGATATTGTTCTTTTCTCCTTTAGTGGACTTGAACAATTCCACAATAAAGAGGTGAGACGTGCCTTTGTCGAAGCTGCTGCTGAGTGAGGGAACTTAGCACAGAGTCTGACTCACCGTGCACACTCGCTAATAGGAGCCCTTAACATTCTCAAAACACAGAAAAGAAGCGCCCTGGAGACCGGCTCAGGGGGCTCAGAGGAGGGATGGTTGATATCGTCGTCACTAGTACCCCTGAGAAGGCACCCTGGATGGCCACCATCTGTACCAGCGTCCAGGTGGGCAGGGACAGCTGCCCCGGATGCTCTGCCAGCCGCCCGGCACGGTTCGTGTGGAACTGAACCCCACGGCGGGCCGAGCAGGCGCTGAGAGAGCGAGGCTCAGGGAGGCAGGCCTGTCCAGCAGCCCTGGTCACACTCACGGTGGCACTGTGGCTCTGAGTGGCCCAGGGTGTGGGGCTTCCTATGCCACAGCACTGGATGAGCTCTGTGCTGGGCAGGGATGGACAGGATGACCCTGTCGTGGACTGTTGAGTGGACAGGGTCTGGGGACCTGCTGCAGTCCCCAGCTCTCTGCCCACTTTGGGAGTCAGGAGCCCTGGGACGTCAGAGTGTACCTCTAGAGGGGTGCATGGGTGGGACAGCTTCCACCAGCTCCAGGCCACCTCCTGCTGGTGGGTTTTTTAATTAACATCAAAACAGTGATGGTTACGAGTTTGGGGACCAGGAGTTCTGAATGGAGATGCCGTCTCTGCCACTCGTTAGCTCCATGACTTTGAGTGAACCAGTTCGTTTCTCAGAGCCTCAGTTTCCTAGTCTGGAAAATGGGGCTAACAAGAATTCCCTAATGTGAGGATTGAGATCATGCGTGTGCCGTGCTGAGTTTGGCTCCTGGCCCGCTTATAGGAGCTCAGTCGATGATCGTTATTCATGATCGTTGGCTTGGGGTGAGCCCTTTACTAAATCTGCCAAAGGATTGGATTCCTTTGGCCTATAGCCCACTGTTCCGGAGAGCTGCAGAGGGCTGATTTTTATGGGCAAAACTGGGGTGATATTACCAAAAATAGGGTGGCAGACGGCTGGGGCCCAGCTCCCCATCTGGGTCCTCTCCCCGCTTCTAGCCCAGGCTGGTCTCCTCCTGGCCTGACTGGCCCCTGGCCTCCTCATGATTGACAGCAGAGAGGCAAAGAAGGGATAGTCCGATTTTGTTTGTTTGTTTGATTTTTGAGAGCTCAGTCCATGCGGGTGTGGGATGAAGCACTTTATGTGAAGACTTTAATTCTCCTGGTGATGCTGTGATTAGCTCTTTGTGTCTTACCTAATTGGGGAGCAGGGAAACAGGTTGCTAGAGGGGAAGTCACTTTTCCTGGAAGAACCAAGCCTTGGTTGTAGAATTGCACCTAACTGTGGTTCTCCATCATCCGGCTCAGTTGCAGGGGAGGATTGGTTTGGGGGGTGTCAGTCCTTGGGACACAGCGGGTGGGCAGCAGGAAAGTGGCTGGGTCCAGGCCTTGGACCCTGAACCCCACCTTGGAGGTCGGAAGGAGGATGTTTGGGGACAAATCAAAGAACTGCTGCCTGACACCTGGAAGAGCTTTGTCCTAGGATGTGGGAGCTGCGGCTGGCTGAAGGCACAGGTTGGTCGGTGGGGGATGCCAGCTGGTGTCTCCCTGGTGCCTAGGAGGAGTGAGACATGGTCAGGGCTGGCTGCCCCCTGCAGGGGCACTAGGCCAGCAGCTCCAACCCCAGCTCCCATCCTGATTCTTGAACACTTCCCAGCACCCTGCCAAAGTGATTGGTTTAAAGGGGGCCTTGACCTCCCAGCCCAGCTCATCAGAGCCAGTCAGGACACTTTGCTTGAGTGACTAGGAAGCAGAACTCGGGCTCCTTCCTGCTAGGATTGACGCTAGAAGGGACAGATTTGGAGCGGCCCAGCCATCTTGTCATCCTGAGGGGAGAACCTGTTAGAGAAGAAAGCCTGTGAGGGAAGAGTAGCTTAGAAAGAGGAAGAAATCAACTGGTCCCTTTGATACCACGAGGCTCCTGGATCAAGCTGTATCTGATGACAGACTGGCCATGGACTTGGACATCAATAAGAGTTAACA